ATAAGTGCTTGGATGGCAACTGCTAGCACTCTGCAAAGGCGGGCCCAAGTGAAATGTGGACACAGTCAGCTCCTCCAATTAGCATGCCCATGCTTGCCCACATCGTGGAAATTTGGCAATTTCCCCAGTCATCTTCAGTTCATTCGAAAAGCTTACCATGATCAAAAGCCAATAATGAAGGCTGCAAGTAGGCTTGACTCAAAGCTAGAAAGTCTCTTGCTCTCAAAGCAGACTCCTATCCCGGGCTTGGCCAAAGCTGGGCTAAGCTTGATGGGTTACCCTCAATGGGGATTCACATTCATGTCGGCTGAACTTGTCCTTACACAGCTGCTGGTTAGGAAAGTTTTGTTTTGATCAGACCTACTCCCAATACTCAGTAGTCAAAGTCCCATTCACCATTTTTTCATGGTTTTCAGAAAGCATTTTTTCTTCTCGTGGTTTGTAATTTTAATTGGAGGAGAAAGGAAGGTAAAAAATTAAAAACAAGAGGAAGTAAAGGAATTAGGGAAGACGAGAGGAGATGCGATCTGTATTAAAAGCATTTTTAAAACAATCATTGACCAGAAAGGGATCTCAGATACACAAAATCTGTTACCATCTTTCATCTTTTTTTATAGCATATCTATTTTTATCAGAAGCCTAACAGGCAAAGATCAAGTCAGCCTCACTATTTGGCATGAAGCCTGCTGTAATATTGATGATATAATATCAATCATGATTATAAGTTACCCTGTTATCAGTATGTGAATATTATTTCATAAGCTTTAATAAGTTGCTTGAGCATTTAAGATGAATGGTTTAAAAGTCTAAATTCATATTCATGCCAAATATGTAGGACATATTTTTCATAATTGTTTTTGTCCCTTGGGTCAATAACACAGTTTATAATCATCATAAAATTTCATTCTTAATTCCTTTTAATTTATCAGAAGGAAAATATGGACGGTTATTATCCAATTAAAATACTCCTGATGCTTTTAAGGTAGACATTATGGGGTTTTTGGAGTTTCACTGAAGACAATTAAGAAAAGAAAGAGCAGCTGCGTGACTTCAAAGCGTTTTAAGGGCTCCAAGTTCGTGGAGATACTCAGCTGTTCGGTCCCCTGTTTCCACTTGTCTTGTACTCATATCATCTGTGATGTAACCAAGGAAAAATTGGAACATGTTACCCACACAGAAGGTGCAGGAGTGTGTGTGACTAAAGATAGAATTTTCATTTGGTAGCTAGAGAATCCATTCTGATACTTAAACAGCTTTGGTTTATTGTCATCAGGGGCAGGGACTGGGAAGTGATCACTGAAAAACTCGAGACAAATGCATGAATCTGAGTCCACCTCCTTGGTTGGACCAAGGGCCACTTACTTTACAAGAGACACAGAGGTGTGTGTGCCCTTCAGACGGACACCTTGTGAAGATGATATGTTTTCTCCAGACAGTTCCCATGCTACTAGCCAGAAAGCAACCCAGCAGGGCAGACTCAGTTACAATGGCTACAATTTCTTCCAGAGAAATTAAGTGGGTCAAAGTGATATCCACAAAAAGAAAATGCCTAGTCATCAGAATTGCATTCCAATTAATGATGAAACAACCACATACAGAATTTAGCTTCCCACCCCTTCCTTTGACATGCTCAATTTCTGTCCCCTTTCTTCTTGATTTGATCATGACCTTGCTTGATCCTGAACATCAACCAGAACTGTGTTGAAATCTGTTTTAATTTCCTCCCCCTCACTTATCAGACTATCTCAATTTCATGCAAACATGAGTCCAGTTCTCCAGAGAGAAAGGCCCCAAATTCATAAATTTCTAAATTGTTTACTTAATGTTAAGTTGAAAACGCTCTTGGAGAGGGAGGACTATGAAGATGACTTATTTGTGCCCAGGCTTTCAATCAGTGAACCTCTCTACCAGAGAACAAGTTGAGTCTCTGCAGCGAC